ATGCTGATTTATGATGGATAATGGTATTTTTCTTTTTTATATAACCACCAATTTCTTTTTTTGTTGGTATAATATGGTCATTACTTGAAATAATGATAATAATGATGACAATATAAATGACAACATTATTACTATTTTGACTTAATGATATTGTTGTATCAAAATGTCAATATAGTTTTTTTTTTATTGAGTCATCATCATTGATAATAATGATTGGATCAAAATAGAACGGATATTCTCTTTCTCTCCATGTGTAAATTCTCTCAACTATATCTACCCAACATGATGACAATTGCGATTAATGTAAACAAACCACGAAATTTTTCTTTTCCTTGAAGCAAAAAATCAATCTGATAGGAAAATTTCAATTTCTCAACCACAGTGACCAAGTAAGAATCGTTTGAAAAAAAAATTCAATATTGAATAAAGTGATGATGGCCGGTATCAAAATGTGATATGTTTGAACAAGTTGGTCATTCATTCAATTTTTTTGATATTTGAACATTTTTTATCGAATGATGAATTTTGATTCTACTTTTACCTTTATTTAGATTATTGTTGACAACATTTTCTTTCCTTCTTCTTCAAACAATTTTTTTTTGTTGATATTTGTTTATTGGCATGCGTTCGACAACATTATCATTCAATATTGGTGGATGCGAAAAACCTGAAATTTTTCCATCAAAACCTTATATAGAAGATAGATGACACATATATGAAACGTATGTGCGAAAATTTATTTCCCTATGTGTGTTTTTTTTCATTATTATTTATTTTCTGCTCTAGGGATGCATCGATGATCGAACCAGAACCAAAAGAAGTGATATTTGCAATCTAATTAATGCATTGCCAACCACATTATCATCTGCATTTGGTTGATATGATTCCGGAGAAAAAAAATTGGGTGATGAACGAAAAATCAAAACAGGCCTGAGCATTTTTTTTGTTTGTTGAAAACGTCATTCCATCATACAGAATCATATTTTTTTTCTGGTTGACACTTGATGGCTGTTGATGGAATAAAATTATGATTAACCCTATGCATGGCATTTTTTTCCCTGTGACAAAAAATGTGTCAGTGAATAATGAACAAAAAAGACAAACGTTTGAACAGAAAAAAATTGTCATCAAATCTGTGTGTGTGTGTGAAGCAAGAAAACGAATGATTAAAATAAACAAAAAACCCTGACAGTTAATATTTACCGGAATCGAGAATTTTCGTTTTTCTGATTTTCAAAAATACAATGAATGTGATTGAAACATCATAATTCACAGACATTCTTTCATTCGTATCATACGACAGTAACACAGAAACAAAAAGCAGAGAGAATTTCAATTCGGTTTTTTTTGAGAAAACAACAACAACAAAAACAAATGAATTTAAGTGGCCAACTAATGGTTCATTGAAATGTATTTCACATACAACAACAACAACAACGACGACGATGTTCAATTCAATTATATCATGATGAAAGAAGAAAAATGTTCATTCACACACACATAGTCTTGTTGTTGTTATTTTTCGAAACTTTTTTCTCTTCTGATTTATGATGAATCATGTAATACGAAATGCAATTCACCAGAACAAAAAATCAAAATCAAAATCAAATTTCATTTAGAAATTCTTTTTTTTTTATTATTTCGGTGATAATTGACAAACCAATACTATACTAGATGAACAAAAAAATGGACATTCCAGGTTTAAAGAATTTCATTTTTTTTTTCTCAGTCACCTGATTATACTTTTTACACACTCAAAAACGAAAAAATCAATAACTTTAAATTAGCTAAATTTTTATCGATGATGATTACTGGATGATTGTAAAAAAAATTTTTGTCATCATTTGCTATGTTATTAATGTTTTTTTTTCAATGAAAAATTTATTTGATTCTTTTGAAATTTTATATATTTTTCATTTCTTTTCGAAAACCTTTAGGGCAAAATTCGCCCAAAATTCTTATTACTTTAAGAATTTTTGATGATAGAAAATTTGAAAGAAACGACTTAGGTGTCTTAATAGGCTTTTCACGAAAAAAAAATTCCTAATAGGGAAAATAATCAAATGTCATCATCATCATCATTAGATCGATCATTTGAATGGAAAATGTTTTTGATGCAAAAAAAGTTTTTTTTTCTGGAAAATTTCTGGACCACATCAACGATGACCAATGGAAATAAATGTGAGAAGAATTATTTTCGCAGCAAAATTATTGATCGGTTAGTTTTTATATTAGTCAGATGCAACGATAAACTATGCAATCATGCACACATATAAATAATTTTTTTGTTTGTTTGTAATTCTCTTCTGAAACATAGTTGTAATAATAATGATAATCAAATGAAATCGAAACAAACTATCCCATCCTAATAACAATGTTGTTGCTTGTTTTCGGTTGTTTTTCGCTTGCTTGTTGTTGTTGTTCAGTAATAAATTTGATTAGAAAAACTATTTATGGCACGCAAACCTTCAGAACAACAACAACAACAAAAAGTTTATCGAAACATGAAAATTAACAAGAATAATGATGATAACAATTTGAATGGATTTTTTCTTCGTTGTTGATTTTCTCGTTTGTAGAATAATAAGAATTTATCAAATGTTTCAAATCAAGGTATTAAAAATCGAATTTTAGATTAATTTCACTCATCAAAATCATTCAATTTTATGGAGATAATATTATCAACAAAAAAACCTGAAACAAAAATTCCCTAATAATAAGCGTATCCTATCTTTCATAAAATTCAAACCTAAACAAACAAATAAAGTAAAGGACACCCACACAAAAATTCATATCATAGATTTGATCATGTAGAAATCATTACAATCAGTTTGATTGGAAGAAAAAAAAATGAAATTCTCTAACAAATAATCGATACAAATATCATTTTCTAACTGGGGGAAAAGAATGATGATGAGGACAACAACAATAATAATAATAATGATTGCCAATGATGATAAAGATTAAATTTCGTTATTTCAAACCAAAAGAGAAAAGGAAAGAAAAAGAAAAACTTTTGCCATTTATAAAATTGGATTCTTTGTTTGGATGGTGAAATGCGAACAGAAAATTATCCAAAACCGGTCTGTGTTTAGGGTTGTTTGGCTGGCCAATTCTATATGTCGATCTGTTTTCAATGATGATGATTCAAATCGAAGAAAAAAGTAAATTTAATTGAAATTTGAGACTGGAATTTCGAAATTACAACAAACAAATTGACTATGTAACAAACAACAAACAAACAAGATATCTGAGATGGAAAAAAAAGTAACAAAATGTAATCAAATTGATTCGGTCTAAATTCAAATGAATTTTGTTTTTTGTTTTTTGAAATTATTGTTCAGAACTTTGAAGAAAGTCATTCATTTGCATAAATCTATTTTAACTCTATTCATTAACTGTTTTCCCCCCTCACCAGAAAATTATTGGTTATAAGCACGCGTAACACATTCACGCACTATCGGATGATCATTACCAAGTTGATTCTGAAACGCAAATTTTCTTTTCTCCCCTTCGTTTTCGTTCACTTTAGTCATTTTAAATGCCAAGAATTTGACTCGGAATTTTTTTTTCAACAATTTTTTATTTTCTCAAAAATATTCCATGATATGCGTGTTAGTTTTGTGTTTGTGTAATGTGGTTGCAAAAAGCAAGCAAACAAGCAAACAATTTGATGGATTGATGAATGCCTTTAGGCAATCAATTATGGACTACTTCAAATATAGAAATGAATATAGTGGAGAAAAAAAAAATTTTTCTCCATAAAACGTGAAAATCCATTCGATTCTTTTTTTCATTGGAATTTAAAAATGTAGTTGAAAAAAATGAAACTAAAATGATAACCACCAATGATCGAACGATAAAGCCAGTTTTTTCCCTATTCTTTTTTTGTTGTTGAACCGTCTGTTTGTTTTGTTTTGGCAAAGAAAAATTTCGATTCAAATCAAACAAATCCATCAATACATCAATCATGAACGAATAAAGATTCCAAAGATTCTAAGCAAGTTAAGTTTTTCAATGATTATCATCATGAAATGTGGTAACGGAAAATGTCAATTAACTATTGTGAAGATTCAATCGGTTTTTCGTCAATTTTTTTTTTTGCATTTATATCCGGTCAACAGAATTTTGATGATGCATTTTACTCACGCAAACAACAACTGGCCAACTAAATAACTAAACAACAACCGAAAAAAATTATCATTTCCGAATTAAAAAGCAAGAATAGAAAAACCTAAAGAAAAAAACAATCACTTTCAAAATTCTTTGTTTTTCTTCGTTTTTTTCAAAAATCATCATCATCCATTGTGTATGCCGTGATAATGATCAAACGTTTTATATATTTTGTTTTCCCATTAAATGTTCTTCTTTTGCTTGCTAGTTTCTGGATATTAAAATTGATTGATTGGATGGCAATTAAATGGAATTGAATTGAATTGAATTGAATGAAATAATGAAATTTTCTTCTTTCTTTCCTATGTTTATAATGATTATTTGCAACACACACACACACACAAGCATTTTGAACTAACTTGAAAAACAGAACAGAAAAAAAACTTTAGCCAAACACACACAGGAGTGAACACGATGAAGAATCAAAGTAGTTAAAATTCCATCAAAAGTTTTTTTTCTCGTTTTTACTTTATTTTACTTTTTTTGTTTCTCTGGTTCGAATAATAATCGGTAAAATTCTTTCTTTTTGCCAGGCAAACAAGCAAAAGCAATGATAAAACAGCAAAGAATTCGAGAAACTTCTCTAGCCAGAATTTTCGTTTTTTTTCGCCAGTGTCATATGTTTCAAATGTGTTTGTTTTTTTTTGGTTGATCATCATAAGTAGGATGAAATGGATTCAGAATACGAATGTGGGTTTCTCTGTATATCATTTTAAATTCAAATATCATTCACGTTGATTATTCGGTTTTCATTTTTTCCAAAGTGAGTGAATGAATGGGTGTTTGGGCTGCACAAAGCAAATGATATAAAACAAAAAAAAACTTACCTCAATCTATTATCATGTAGGTATAGTTGTTTTAAATTTTTCAAACCATAAAATGCATTTTCTTCAATTGTTTCAATCTGATTTACACTGAAATCAATCGTTTGTAAATGTATTAGATTTATAAATGCAGAATTTGTTATAATTTTTAGATGATTATTTGATAAACTTAATTTTCTTAATATTGGACAATTTATTAATGAATTTGTAGGCAAATTTATAAGCTCATTATGAGCTAAATCAAGCTCGATCAAATTGGTCAATTGTTGAAATGCATCAATATTTATATCATTTAATTGACAATTTACTAAATATAAACGTTGTATATTTGTTAATTCAACTCTTTCAAATGCACGTGATTCAAGTTTATTGATTGGATTACCGGATAAATATAATACTTGTGTACCGGAATCTAATCCTTTTGGTATATGATGTAGATTTGCATCTGGACATTCAACCCACATTTTACCTGAACGCCATTTACAATTACAACGTGCTATACATTTTGTTTGCGCTAATTCATAAGGTCGATTTAATTGTATATTCGTTGTAATCTTATAATGATGGTGATGATTATGACTTTGATGATGATGTTTATGTTTGGCTTTTTCATCGAAATTCGTCGATAATGGCTCGGTTATTTGTCCGAAATTATTTGCCATAATCAATGGTGATGATTGGAAGGATTTATATTCATTATTATAATGATGATTATAATGATGATGATGATTATAAAAATGTTTGGACGATTTATTTATTTGTTGTTGTAAATTATTATCCAATTTAACACCATTTAAAAAACTGAGCAATATAAAAATGTTTAATAATAATGAACAATTTATAAATGAACTGTAATAATAATAATTTGTATTTGTAATTGATTTTGTTGAAATTTTAATAAAAATTTTATTATTATTTAAAAATAAAATTATAATTATTATCAATGAAATCACTATGATGACCACCATCATTATGAATAAAAATTTAAATGATAAAAATATTGTTAAACACCACCACCACCAATAATAACAAAAAAATATATCGGACCGGCTATTTGAACATTTTAACCGGCTATCATTACCGGTTATCATCACTTTATTATTATTAAAAATTTTCAAACGATTAACACAATCAAGTAATCTAGTCCATCTTTGTAATAGAACAATCATTTTGTACATTTTTTTTGCTGTATAATGTTGATTGAATAATAATTTTGATGAATCAATGCGATTTGCTGATGATGATTATGATAGCGATTATTACATTTTCTATTTCAACAACAACAATCGTCCAGTCGCAATGTTTGATTTGGATGTTTGATTATTGATTTTTGAAATTCATCATTTATTCATTCGTTGGAATGGTTTTCTGTTTGTTTTCTGCCATATCACGATGTTGTCGGTGATTTCTAAAATGAAACAAAAAAACAGAATAAGAATTATTAAGTGGAATGCAACAAGGAAAAAAAGCGTTATTCTTTTTCAAGTAAGTGTTAATTTAAAAAAAACAATGTAAACACACGAAGATCATCGCCCTAAACACCCAAAAAAAGAAGAAATTCATTCAAATTGATCTTTTCCTTTTCTTTTCTTTTTTCAATTGTTTTTCACTGGCACATCCATATGTGTGTGTTGTATCAATATTGAAATAATCAAGAGCTGTGTTTTGATCAAGATTCAGGAATAAGATTGAGTGAAATTGAATGTGAATTCTCCTGATTCAAATCAAATTCTTATTTCATTTCAAAACAAAAAAACTCTTGGTTTCAATTCTGTTTCCCTTATATTAAAAAAACCAAGTGTGTCGTTGATGAAATGAAAAATGAAACAATGATAAAATAGAAACTTTCAATTCATTTCCTTTCAAATACAAGTGATTCAAAAGTTTATATCAAAAACTAAAAAACAATGCTTGATAGAACACAGATTGAAAAATTGAATGAAAATTCATCATTTGACATAAGGTGAACAGAAAAAAGGGTTGACTTTCATCATCAACAATGCATAATAATTGAAAATTGAAATATGTGCAAAATGCGAATCTTTCAAACATTCAGGCAGGGATATCGATTTTTTTTTCGTTCGAAATTATCTTCATTTTCACATTGACGTTTTTTGATTGAAAGAAAACAATGATTGAAAAAAAGCAAGAAAAAATAATAATCTTTTTTTCATTTGAGAAATTTTTTTTCTCTATCCAAAAAAAACAGAAAAATTAAATGGATAATAATCGAATCGTAATAAAGTCGTTTAGTTTTTTTCTTTGCTTTAAAGTAATAGTGTCGTTTCGTTTTTCTTTCTGGACTGAAGTTTTTTAAAGTCTATTAAAGAATTTAATGAATGGCTATCGACTGGGTTTTTTCTATGTTTTTTTCTGGGTTGGTTGTTGTTGTTGTTGTTGGAAAGAAACGAGGCAATTTCATTGCCTTTTTTTCACTGCAAATGTTATTGTCATTCGTTTTCTCTCTTTTCAGTTTCTCTTAAAATTGAATCATAATATTTTTTTTTTCTTTCTTGTGGTTCAATCCTAATGTGGCAGCTATTTGGAAATTGAAATTTTTAAAAAAATGGACGAAAAAACATCAACAAAATTCTGCATTTCTTTGAACAAAACGAAACGAAATTCACACAATTCAAAAATTTTCAAATAAATCAAACAAAATGAATCTTTCTGTTATTTTGAAAACAAAAATCTTTTGAATTTTGAATTTTTTTAAAGTAAAAAGTTACGAAAACAAAAATATAATTCCCCGATAAATTGATGATAGTAAAGATTTAGCTTTGTTTTGGCTATGATGGCCAAGAAGAAGAAGAAAAGACTTTATTCAAACTATTAAACTTGAGAAATGAGAATTAGATCCATTCCTATGATGGATAATAATAATATTACTGCACACGGTATGGATATGGATTGAAACAAAACAAAAACAAAACAAAAACGCTTATGAATTCTCTCTCAGTGTTTGTGTGTGTGTGAGATGAATGAATATATGAATCACTACCGACAACCATAGCTATAAAAGAAAAAGAATAATAATGATGATTTGAAAGAAGTAAGTAAAAGAAGGAATATAGAGAATCCACATGGAAAATAAAATTCATCATTATCCACATGGTTGGACACATCTATTACAGAAAAACTATCTCGGTCTGTGTGTGTGAATGGAATGTCTAAATTTTAATAATGGTACAAGACGAATGAAAATGGTAAAGTAAAAAACAAATGCTGTTGTTGATGAAGAAATTCTTGTTTTTTTCCATTTCTTATATTCAATATCATAATTCTTTCCATGTAGACATTGTAGGCTTTCTCTCTATTTGTGTGTTTGGAATGTGAAGCCAGAGAATTTTTCTTTGATCCATTTTAATTTTTTATTATTTTTTTTTCTTTGCCTCATCATCTAGGTTTTTTGGTTATCGAAAAAACAAACGGTGAAAAACGGTGTTGACAAAACAAAACGATAAAAACTATCATCATCACCTTTTCAGGTGATTTTTTTTTTGTTGATCAAAATGATAGCGGAGATAAATGATCATTGATGAACGAAAATTGATAATATTTGAATGGCCATATTGGAAAAACAATAATGATTCAAGGATAACAACAAAAACTTTTTTTCTTGCTTTTTTACAAACCAACCAATCGAACAATGGAACGCGACAATGAAAAATAAGATCAACAAAGAAAGATTCATTCATTCCGTATGATGACAATGGTGTAATGGTGAATTTATGTGGATAACATTGAAAACAACGACAACCAAGCCAAGCAATGAAAAACACGATGATGATGATGATAGAAGATGATATTGAGCGTAAAAAAGACATTTTTCATTATTTATTTATATTTTTTTTCATGCAACATTGTTTTCTTTCCGTCGTTCTTTACATTTAACAAAAGCAAATATACAATATATAATATTGAAAAGCCAGCCACAGGCTTCATATTTTTATTATCTAATATGTATATATTGTCATTGGTTGGCAAAGTGAAAAACAACAACAACAACAACGGAAAAAATTCTACGGTTATTAAACATTCTTTTATGTTTGGAAGTTTTCTGAAACAAACCCAAAGTTTTTTCCATTCAGCTTATTTTATGAAAAAAACCTATGGTAGCAGATTTTCTGATTCATTTCTTTTTTTCATTTAGAACAAAAGAAGAAATTAAAAACTGACAAACCTAACAATATGATGACAACGACCAACCGATAAACTTACATACACACACAAGTATAACATAGAGTCTTTGTTTTTGATTATCATTATTGTATATTTCAAGTGTGATGATGCTTGATAATAAAGAGAGCGAGAGAGAGAGAAACATCCTCAAGACATGTTAAGTTAACCAAACTATTGTGAACATAATGAAAGAACCTCAACAACAACAACAATAACAATAACAACTGGAATAATAAACCGAAATAGTAGCAGCAATATTAAGAATAATAATGTAAAGAAAAAATATGAATCAAATTCTGATATTCTGGTATTCTGGTTCTAGAGACACTCTTATAGACTAATCATCACTTTTTTTGTTCTGGATGGGCAAAAATTGGTTTTTCTTTTCTATTCTTTTCTTTTTTTCGGGTTATCATCATCAACATTAATAATAACAGAAAGAAAAACAATGTCGTCATCATTGTCCACACAAACACAACGACAATATGAATGATGATGATGATGATGTGAATCCATAGATTTTTCATTTCATATAAACAAAATGATTGAAATATAACGGTTACATAAACATATAGGAGAGAGAAATGAAAAGAAAAGACATCAAAACAATAAATCAAACGAAAGATGAAAGCAAAAAAACTAAAAAAAAGCGATTCAGTTTTGAATCATTTCATAATTTTTTCATATTCTGGATTCTGGATTCTGGATTCTGTTTTGCTTGGTTCAATTCCCCCCACCGTTATATATTTGGGTAAAAGTTTTTTTTTCTGGTTTGTAGGTCATTAAGACTAATTTCATCATCAGTTTTTTTTGCTTTGGTTACTGTATTCACATTTTTTTTTTTGCTGAAAAATCTTACCAAAACAAAGATACTATATATAAATAAAAATATGGAATCATGTGATCCGCGAGGGAGTGTGACCAAAACATGAAAAAAAACCAAGAGAGAGAGAGAGAGAGATAGCGTTACTCCCCAAAACAACAACAACAATTAACAACAAACTTGTTTGTTTGGGTAATTAAATTAATCATAATAATGATTCTCCATTCGAAACAGAATAAGAAAAAAAATTCAAAACAACAATAATATCAGTAACATATAAAATGAATGAACCAGAAAAAAATAGAAATTTTCCATTCAAATATGAACCGGATGAATAAACTGAATAAATGGGCTGATAGTTGGGTGTATGAATGGATGGATGGATGGATTGATAGTCTTAATGGTCTGGAGATGTTTTCAGCGAATCGATACAAACAAACAGAAAGCAAACACAGAGAGAAAGTATCAATATAATAATAAAATATAATTGATATTAATAATGGTGATGATGATATTTTATTATTATCATTGATTGAATTCATTCAAACAGCGACAACAACAACAAACCATTAACAGATTTACACTGTTGTTTGAACATGAAATGAAATGAAATGAAAGGAATGAATGTTTGTTAATCGATTCTGTTACTAATAAATTGAATAGAAAACAAATGCATTGAAGCCTGATTGGTGTGTATATTGATATGTTTGAATGATGAATTATTACCGTTTTTTTTGTTTCAAATGTAGTCAGGAATTCATTCATTTCGTTGAACAACAA